GTGTGAATATCTCATTAAATAGTTGATATTTTGTAATTTAAAATGTTATAAGTATAATATCACATGATATTATAAATCTATAATATAATGTGATTATATAATTGATTTTTTTTACTCAATAATCTACTTATGATATTGTTTATATTTATTCATTTAATGTCACATTATATTTATTTAATATTATGTCATAATTATAAATTTACAATTTTATATAGTATTGTTAACTATAATATTATAGTTTTGTAATTCAATATACTCGAAACTGCAAGATACTAAATTTATTGAATTTTTTTTCTTACTTTTGTGTTTAAGAAATAGGGATGGGTAGTGTGTGTTTGGTTGAAAGCCTACTTTTCCAAGAAAGTTTTTTTTGAAAAAGTAATTGGTTAGAGTATTGTAAAGAAAATTAGACTATTTTACATAAAATTGTTAAGTTTTGTAATAAAATTTTATTAAAATTTTGTTGAGTTTTTAATTTGTTTTGTTTGGTAAGAAATTAATATAGGAAAATTAGTAGAGACAATTGTTGAATCTCATGTAAGGAAAGTTGTGGGAAACTTTTTCCTGGAAAGATGTGGTAAAAAATTTACAAATTACGAATCATGTAAGAAAAAATAAAAGTTAAAAATATTATTTTTATCCTTTATCTATTATAGTTTGGAGATATACATAAATACCAAAATACTCTTTCAGAATTTTAAGAGATATTTTCCAAGAAAGTAATCCTCATATCGCTTAAAGTGTGTTTGATTTATCAATTTCTCAAGAAAAAAATATCCAGAGAAGCCAGGAAAATTTTTTTAATTTGTTTTCAAATCCTGGCAAAAATATTTAAGAGAAATATAATCTGTTACATCTCACTATAACCAGTTATAAAATGAGTATTAATATAGGGATAATTTTGTTATTATTTTTTATATAATTTTTATATATTATTAAATGAGTTAATATATTTAATATTATAAATTATAAATAAATAAATAAAATTAATAATTTAATAACACATAAATATTTTTTATCTCTTATTTCACTTCACTTACATGTTATGTGAGTCAAATTCAGAATTTCTTATTTTTAACAAAAGATGATGACCATTAATTTATTTAAATTATTAATAATAACACATAAACTTATACAATATAAAAAGATTATTTCTAAATAATTTTCCTTATAAAATCAATTTTTTCATGATCCCAAAATATTTGGAAATATTTCCTCCCAAAAAACCTCATCTTTTTCTACTATTATAACTAGTTATAATCAATTGCAATCTATTTTATCATTTTTTGAAACTTATGCCAAGATTTTAAAGACAGAAAAAAAAAAAAAAAATTGCTTATCTTCTCGCCTTCTCCGGATATTTTTTCCTAAGAAACTGTGAAACCAAACTTATCTTCAATGTATGGAAAACGGACTGAGCTATTACGAGATCCGATCAATTCGGTAGTTCCCGTACTTTCATGTGACGCCGCATTAAACATCTTCACGTGTCAGATCACATTCTTCCACGTGTCACCTCTACATACTCACACAGCAACACCACCCAGTTTTCAGATTTTTTTTCCCACTACCCAAGCTCTGCTCAACTTCCGCTCCCCTTTTCCGTCGCCCTGAATTCCAGTTTCCGATCCCTTTCGGTTTCCATGGCTGTCCCCCTAGCTAGCAAGCTCTCCTCCACCCACCGCCATTCTTTGCTCTTCCCCAACTCTCCCTGCCCTTCTCCTCCATTTCCATCTAGGTTCCTCTCCCTGTCGCTGACGAGTACTGGCAACAACCCCAACAGCAACGCCAATGGGTTGTCTCTGACTCAGTACTCACTCGCTTCGCTCCACCGCCGCCTCACCCCGCCTCCTGCTCTCGACTCCGACGTGCCTCACCCTCTTCACAAGGTATATCACTGTTAGTTAATTCTCTTCATACTGGGAATCTCCATTAATGCTTTGTTTTATTTTTAATTTTCGAAAATAGGTAACGTAAATTGAAGCTATAAATTCCCTTTTTTTGTCAAATGTTCTCTATTATGAGTTAATTTAATACCTTTTTTTTTAAAAAAAAAATTTGCTATTAAATTGAATAATCATTTTGATTATAGATTTCTGGCTTACCAAATATGCTTAAGCATGAACGTCTAGATTTTGGTACACTGTTTCTAATTTGAGTAGTTCTTTCAATGTTTTTATTTTTCTATTTAATTTTTCTTTATTCCCATTTTCTTTTTTAATGAAGAATTTGCATAGGAAGAAAAAAAGAAAGAAAAAAAGAAAGAGAGTTTGAACTCTGTAGTTCAATTTTAAATTTAATTCATGCTGTTTTTTTATTTTTAATGTAGGGACCTAATACAAATAGAATCAAACCTAATGACAATCCTTAATGATTTCTGTGTGTATGGATTGTAAAAGGGATCGGTGAACTTGAAGAATAGTAAGAGCTTTGAGCAATGGGATTCATGGACAGCAATATTTTCTGGGGCGTCAAATATACCCTTTCTGTTGATGCAACTACCTCAGATCATCCTTAATGCCCGTAATTTATTGGCAGGAAATAAGACTGCTCTTTTAGCTGTACCATGGCTGGTAAAGCATTTTAGTAGATTCTTATAGCCTCTGGTAACAGCATTTTCTGCATCTTTTATGAGTGTGTGTGTGTGTGTG